TCCCAATGTTCACCTGGACAATGTCCTCAGTATCCGGGTTTCAGTTACCTTTTGTTGTATCTTTTTGGTGTTTACTGGAGTGCAGCTTGGGCACCGGTTTACCAGAGATTTAATTATTTTTTTCCATTTTGCGGAAGGTATATTCAGTTTTAAGGAGTTCCAGCAGTTTAGTTTTTCCCAAGTGGGTGGCTTGGTGTAAGCCTAAAGCTAGGTCGACCCCCAGCTCTTCTGGCACAAAAATTGTTCCATCTGGGAGTCTAAGCCAATTATCAGCTGAGCCCGGGCTGGCTTCCAGCCTGTTTGCCTCTTTCAGATCAGATTGGGAATAGGTTGCCTGTTCTGGCAGTTGAGGCTCCGGGAGGATGGCAGCGGCCAATGCAGTTCCCACTGGTTTTAGTGCTGCCTCTTTGGCTATCTGGTCACCAAAGTTATTACCCTTGATTTCCATAGATTGGCCCCATTGATGTGCTTTGCAGTGGATAATGGCAACTTTAGTGGGATACCAGATAGCCTCTAGCAGCGCTAAAATCTCTGGTATGCTTTTGATGGCCTTCCCCTCAGAAGTTAACAATCCCTGCTCTTTGTATAGTGCCCCACGAATGTGAGCAGTTGCAAAGGTGTACCTACTGTCTGTGTAAATATTTATGGTTTTGTTCTTCCCCAGCTGGAGGGCTTTTGTCAGGGCTATAAATTTGGCCCGTTGAGCTGATGCGTCAGGTTGTAAGGGCTGGGACCATTTTACCTCCTCAGTGGTGACCACTGCCACGTCAGCAATACTGGACTCTATCGACCATGAAGCTACTGCCGTCTGTGAAGAGAGTTAGATCTGTTTCTTTCTAGGGGGTGTCCTTCAGGTCAGGACGAGTACCCTGGAAACTGGATAACAAGTCCAAACAATCGTGTATTGGCATGCTGGCATCTGAGTCAGGCAGCAGGGTGGCTGGGTTGATAGATGTAGGTGGAGCAAATCTAATTCTTTGAGGGTCCAGTAGCTGGGCTTGGTAATGGGTTATGCATGCATCGGAAATCCATTTTCCTGGGGGAGATTTGAGCAGAGTCTCGACCCCATGAGGAGTTACGATGAGGAGCTTCTGTCCCAAAGTCAATTTGTGTGCCTCCCTAGCCAGGACAGATGTTGCGGTGGTAGCTCAGAGGCAAGTTGGCCATACAGTGGCAACTGGGTCTAGCCTTTTGGACAGATAGACAACAGATCTTTTCTAGGGGCCTAGTGTTTGGACTAGGGCCCCTTTAGCTATGCCGCCTTTCTGATGTATGTACAGTTGGAATGGTTTGGTTGGGAAGGGCCAGGGCAGGCTCCTGTATTAAAGCCTTTTTTACATCAGAAAAGGCTTTATCTTCCTTCTTAGTCCAATTAATTATTTTCCTGGTGCCTTTAAGACAATCATACAAAGGCCTGCCAGATTCAAGAGGAGTTTGACCCTGAGTGGCCAGGAGTACTTTAGTAAGGCGCTTTATCTGTCTCTCTTCAGGAGGGTCTCGGTTATTAATAACCCTTCGAGCTACCTCTACCAACTCAGAGAGGACTTTTTCTTTGAATCCATCTACCTTTGTAACTTTTGTTTTATGTCCGGGGCCGACTGGGTGACAAAAGGCAAATTAATAGCCCTTCTATTCTCAGGTGCCTCTGTGTCTATGGGTGTATATAATTTATAAGCTCTCATAAGGCACTCGAGAAAAGCACTGCATGACTCATTAGGCTGCTGGATGACCTCACTTTACTTAGACAAGTTAGTGGGTCTCCTAGCTGCAGCTTGTATACCTCTAAGCAGAATCTGGCGAAACTGGCCAAGAGCCTCCTTACTTCTATCCATGTTGGGAACCCAGTCAGGGCGGGACAAGGGGAATATTCAAGATATTCAGTCTGGGTCGTCGGTGAGCAACCCATCAGGTCTAAGGATGGAACGCCTGGCCTCTCATCGGATGCGTTCACGTTCTTCCGAGGTGGACAAGGTTTGCAAAATTTGCTGACAATCATCCCAAGTGGGCTGGTGGGTATAAAAGACAGACTCCAAAAGAGAAATTAGGCCTTGTGGCTCATCAGAGAAAGAGGGATTCTGGTTTTTCCAATTATATAAGTCACTCGTGGTAAAGGAAACATAGACCATAAAGGGTTCTTGGGCACTGGGGCCTGGCGTAAGGGCAAAAGGGGGGCAGAAGACGTGAGCTACGAGGGGTCTGTGTTTGTGAGTCAGGTACAAGGTCTTGCCAAGGCCTCATCTGGTTTCTGTTCTCATCTTTGCTGTTATCTCAGGACCCTGCAAGATTTTGATTTGTGCCAGTGTACTTGGGTAGTGCCCAAGGTCAGCTTCCAGTCATTTGGCCTTGATCATTTCTCAAAACTCTACAAGTCTCAAAGAAAGAACTGTTAGTTTTGCAAAGTACTGATTAGCTTCTCAGCCTTGTTTTCCTACTTACTGAGTGAGATAAGAAAGTCAGGGGATGGGAAGCAAGAGTGGAAAGAAAAAAAACTGTCCTTTTTAAAAAAAATCCTCCCCCCCCTCCCGTAGCCCAGGCTGCTTTACATCCCAAAATGGCTTCAGTTCTGCTCACTCCAACAATTCCCCATTGTCAATAGTTCTTTCCACTTTTATGGAGTGGGCCGCCGACTCATCTGACTGCTTCAAGCTGTTTTCAGGGCACAGTAGGGGTTAATGTGGAATGGAACTATTTGACATGATGGAGGACATAGCTCTTGGTACCCAGCTGGAGTGGCGCAGAGGATCAAGAGCATTTGTTTATCTATTGTCTTAACAGTTGATTCACAACAGGTGGCTTACTCAGAGTTAGCAAGCTATACATTAATTGGTACATCAAGAATTTTAAGAACTTACATGAATCCTTTGTTTAGGAACAGGATGTCTCATCCGAGTCATGAGCCTCCTCCTTCAAGTTTATGAAACTTTAGAGAACTGCTTGTGTAGACAAGACATCATTTCCCCTTTTTCAATCAAAACATTCCTCATGGAAGCATTGAAGATCAATTTTCTGATTGAAAAGGTTTTACTTTTCTTTGTATGGACGCCTCAGTGCTGGGAAGACTTATTCCCAGGTAGACATGTTATTTTATAATTAACCTTTTTAATTGTATACTGTTATATAAAGAGAGCAAATTTTTATTATATTTATTTAAATAACCATATTATCATAAAAATCAGAAGGATACTCACAAATAGTTTTCAAATTTTGGAGGAATCAAAGAGGAAAAAGGCAAATATTTTCATCTTTGTTTATAAAGTACATTTTACCAAATTGCTGTAAGTTATAGATAACTTAGAGACAAAGTTTCCTTAAATCTGGAAAACAAAACATTTAAGTAAAGAACGAACAATGAAAGTAACAAAACATTTTTATCAGTTACTTAACTTTGTATACTTAATTTTTGCTTTGCTTGATCTTAATTAGTAGTTCTATAACTCATCAGATTTCTTACTAGAGTTTTGAAAGCCTTTTATTTTGTCCATTGTTCTTAAAGTTATTTGACCCTTGTGTTTAAGAGTACTTGTTAGAGTCTTTTGCAATTTTACTAAGCATCTGGTCAATATTTTAAGAAAATCTTGTTCTAACATAGGGGAAATTTAGTTCTATATCAGTGTTTTCTTAATATTAAGTTTAGTCTTTAGAAAAACTTAGCTAATTGCCTTTTAATTACAGTCATTTTAATCATACACAAAAGTCTTTCATAAATTTGCTGTTCACAAACCATTATTACCACTTACTCGGACCTTCGATGACATGCTTTAGATTTTTCATTTGTCCTATACTTCCCACTTCCTAAATAACCAGTCATTTTGCTCTAGGACAAAAGTTCACTACACAAGATGCTTTTTCACAATGAAGCATCCTCTTTTCTTTTCAGCCCTCCTAACAACTACATCTCTATGTCCACAGCTTTCTTTATATCTCCTCTTTTCCTGCATACTGATTTCCTTTTTCACCAACAGTACTAAATTAGCCTCATTTATCTAAAAATCCCATGATCAAAGATCATTCTGTTTTAGGCTGGGCTTATAACTTTAACCTTAAAACCTCTAGCAAAGACAAATGTAATCCTGTTTGACCAGTAAACCCAAGCAGATAATCCCGAAAACATTTCTCATAGCAATGTGATTTTCAAAAAGCCTTTTTACCTGTTTTTTTCCCTTCAGTTTTAGTTTAATGTTTACATTTAGCTAGAACTGGCTGAGTTGTACAAGAAAAACAGAATCTCCAAGAGGCCTTGATTCTTCTAACAGGTTTCTCTTTATCTTGGCTGAAATGCCATAGACAGTGAGTTTCTCTTATAACACTTGCAGAACTCTGTGCACAGATAGACAAATTTTGTCCAGAGACTTAGCTAATTACAGTGTTCAGTTTTTCAAGCTTGCCAGGAGAATCTGAGAAAAAATAATTTCTTTCAGTCATCAGGTCTTTAATGACCAAAAAGCACAAACTTAGTTACTCAAACACAAACAGACAGACAAATTTTGTTTAACTGGTTCACAAGCCCACTGGCTGATAGACTTGGGTGCATCATCTTTTTCTAAAGGAGACAGCCTTACTCAGGAATGATGGGTCAGTGGTTTAACTCCTGCAGGCTTTAAAGCAGTATGAGCTGTTTTTTTTTTCAGAGGGCCACCCAACATCAAACGCCGGCCAATCAATCTCACATAGTGTCCGCAGTGTTCTGAAAGACACTGGGACCCCGGAGTTGGCAGCCTTTTCCTGAAAATTTGAAAATTGGTTAGAAAGCAATCAAGTACGGTCGATGATGAGGATGATCCTTGACCCAGGTTAACCTGTGGGGCAAAAATGGCCAAGCACTTAAAAAACTGACAAAGCCACAACAACACGCAGCCACAGATTTAATACAAGTACAAAGACAAAGACAATAACCAGATTTGGCCACCAGTGAACCACAGTGACGTCTCAGTGGGTTCAGGGGACTGGCGTGAGTAACTGCGTCCAGTCTGGCCAGATTCCCCACCAGAAGAGCGACTCACCAGGTACAGTTGCAGGCGCCACAGGACGAAGTCGGCTGATATCCCAGGAGTTCTACCAAGTAGGTTGGGAACTACGACTGGGCCAGGACTGGGCTCTCCGCAGGCTGGGAGGAAGAACTCTGGGGCTGAGAAACGTCTCTCAGGAGCGCTCCCCTAGAGTCTGTCCAACTCAGCCGGAGGTCTGCAGTCATTAGCAGCCTTCTGAGTGTGTGGAGAAAAAGTGTCTCGGTGGGACCTCCAAATGTTATAGACGAGTTTTAAAGGAGACACACTCAGAAGGATGTTTAAAAGATTTATTCCGGCCCGGGTCACAGTTTGAATTGGCTGCTGTGGCCCTGGCCGGAATAAATCTTTTAAACCTCCTTCTGAGTGTGTCTCCTTTAAAACTCGGCTATAATATTTCCCAGCCCTGGACAGCAGCTGCTCACAGCCTTAGTGGCAACCCTGGGAGAAGAACTCACCAGAATGGAAAATCTAAGGATGGATTCTGCTGAGAAAGACACAGGTACATCCTGCTGAGGAAATGTGGCAGGAAAGGATGGGGCTCTCAGTGCCTTTTGGTTGGTGAGGAAAGACAGTGCTTCAAGGAACCTACCACCTGGTTGGTGAGGAAAGGCAATGCTTCAAGGAAGCCGTCACCTGATTGGTGAAAAAAGGCATCTCTTGGAAGTTGCAGATCTTTGTCCTCTGCTCTTCCGCTCTTCCCTTTCCTGGTGTCACTCCTTTAAGGGTTGCAGGAACTTTGAAGCCTCAAAGTTCCCCCAAGGGACACTTTCTACCAAAGAGAGACCCTGAGATCTTGGTAGTATACAACTTTAGGAGAAGTCCAGACCCTGGCATAGGGATGCGTATCCTTGAGATCTCTGCACAACTCCTCCAGCCTTGTGCCACCCCTCACCATAGGAGTCTTCTGTCTAGTCTTCCCAGGGCAAGACAGTTTAAGGAGATGGTTCCTTGGTTGGAAGCACTTTGGCCTCAGCATTTTGATCTTTGATGGTTTTCTGTTAGAGGCTTCCAAAATTTTGCAGGGATGGTGCTGCCCCCAGGCCTCAGCTCCTGAGACTGACCTCAGGGAGCCCCAGTGAGAGGCCCTCAGGTGAAGGCTACACCTCTTTGCTTTGTTTCAGACGAATTTCACAGAGGAACCAGGACGACTGGCAATGGCTCTTGACTCCCAAGTTAGCTTGGGAATGGGCATTGGGGCCCTCTTTACCCCCGACTTCTCAGGGCCTGGGAGGGGTCCAGGCAGGAGGCCGAGGCTACCTATACACTGCTGGCGATTGGCTGCCTCAGGACCTTGTTCAATTTAGAGCAGGGGGGGACCAGACAAGAACATCCTGGAGCAAGGGCATCAGATTCCAAACATGATTTTGCAGGCCCGCATTTGGGAAGTTTCATAGCAACTAATTTGTTGGGTTCTCTCTCCCCTCCCCTAGTTTAGAAGCAAACTGGGGCTGGCAGGTTACCCCCGACTTCTCAGGGCCTGGGAGGGGTCCAGGCAGGAGGCCGAGGCTACCTATACACTGCTGGCGATTGGCTGCCTCAGGACCTTGTTCAATTTAGAGCAGGGGTGGACCAGACAAGAACATCCTGGAGCAAGGGCATCAGATTCCAAACATGATTTTGCAGGCCCGCATTTGGGAAGTTTCATAGCAACTAATTTGTTGGGTTCTCTCTCCCCTCCCCTAGTTTAGAAGCAAACTGGGGCTGGCAGGTTTGGTGCATACAAAGGCCTGTAATAAACTTGCCCCAGAACAGGTGGTTGCGTTCTCTAGCTATTCATTGCAATTTCACAGCACTGGGATGGCCTAATTATGGTGTGGGCTGTTGTCCTATACAAACTCAGATGAGATAAATTTCTCCCTTTTCTCTGCAGAACCGATTGTGGCTCCTCAGGCTTGGCTTTAGGGGTCACAAGATGTGATCCCCGGGGAACCTGGGCCGAGGTTGCAGACATGTCTCTGCACATGTAAAAAACCTCCCTCTAGGCTGTTTCCAGCTCCTCACACGCCAGCCCTGCCAGCCGTGGATTAAGGTCAGAGGCGAGCAGGCTCCAGGTAGCCACATGATGATGAGCAGAGAGGCCTGGGGAAGCCCCCCAAACTGTGGAGCCTGAGTGAGATGCACACAGCCAGCCCAGGAGGACAGGCAGCTCCCCACACTGCCAGCTGTCTCCTGCCTTCTCCCCACAACGTTTTCCTGCAACACCTGGGAGTGCGGACATCTCCACCTGGAGACCAGCGCCATGTGCCTGGGGCCCCTGCTGGCTCTCTGCTCCTCCCTGCATCTCTCTTCTTGAGCTGTGGAGTGGGAAAGGGGAAGAAGGGTTCCAGGAAGGTTGGGACGAGTCTGTGCTGGGCTCCTTCTCTTTCTAAGGTCAAAAATAATGTCTTCTCACCTTGTCTTCTCTTCCTCCCTGTCCTGAACCTCACAAAGAGATCCCTGTAGCACCGCTGACCACTGCAGCCAGCAGTGTGGAGGAGCCTGAAGGTAAACTGTCCCATTAGCATCTCAGTTCTGCTGTTGCTGTGTAGTGGGGTGGGGAGGGGTGGGGAACGGGGAGGGAGGATTAGAAGGCCCAGACTCCTCTATAACCACCATCTGGGCTTTTGGTGTGAGTGGTGCCCCCTCCCACTTTTCTGTGACTTCCCTTCTGAGAATAAAATAGAGGAGGTTTTAGTACGGCCTCTTTCCCAAGCCCAGAAGCCTAGAAATTGAGCTGGTCCTACTTGTCCACCAAATTTAAGAAGCTGCCTGTCAGCCCCACAATTTCCGCGCTGGGGGTGTTAAACTCCTTCCTAAGGCTGCAAGGAAGGAAAGAGCTGAGTGCTGGGGATGGAAAAGGAGCTCTTGGACACAGGGTTCCACAAACAGAATTCAGGGGAGCCATGCGCTGGGATGGGAAGAGACTCACATCTTCACTTTCACTCACCTCAAACTGAAAATTTAGCATTTCCTCCTTCATGGAAGTGAGCTATAGACTTCAGCAGCCAGCAGTGCCTGTGACTCAGTCACAGGTAAAAATCACAGCTATTTTCACATCATGTTATAGTAGATGCAGATACCGTGAAATACTGTCTATGCTCATTACTGCTTCAGAATTATAGAAGTTGCTAAACCAGCTGCTAGATCCTCATTTATAATTATTAATAAAGAAGCACACACATAATGTAACTGTACTGTCAATCTGGGTTTCAAAAGATATTTGGATAACTGTACTTCAGTATTATCAATTTCCTTTGTTCTCTATGCATTTTATTTGAGGATTGAGAAATACTATTCTGTGAAAAGGTCCATGGGCTTCACCAGTTCTTGGCATGCAAAAGGCCATCTATCTCTGGCTTTGAGCACACACAGGACACTCTGCTGCATGTGGTGTCCTGCTGAGAGCAGTACAGGCTGTCCCCAGCATCCTGGTCACATGGGGCTTTTGTGTACTGGTACTTGGAGTAGGAGTGGGAATGGGGGGCAGAAAGAGTGACAGTGGGAGCCCCAGCATGGACATTTGTGCAGGCTCTGGGGACCCTTGCCCTCTCCATATAGGTCTGTAGGGAGGTGGGGGGAAGCGTGTAAAACTCACGTGGTCACCTGGATATTTTAGAATAATGATTCTGGATTTGGAGAAGTATTGGCAGTGCATGGGAACTTGAGAGCAAACAGATTTGGAACTTGTACATGGTCAGTCAACAGACAGCCCTCGTATACGACAGGACAGAATCCATGGCAGGGGGTACTGGAAGCCACCCTGGGGAAAGCAAAGAGAGTTTGTTCTGGGGTTGTTTGCAGAGTCTTCAGGTGCCTTTGGCTGAGCCACGTGCAGGGGATGACAGGATGACAAAGCTGAGATGGGAGTGAGGACGTGCTCTATTGCAACACAACTCCAGGGAACATCCCAAGTTAGTTCAGCTTTAGAGGAGAGCAGATTTGAAGCTAGAAGACACTTAAATGGAAACTCAATTTTTGCTCTCCCTGATGTGGCATCAGTCACTGCCTCACTGATAATGACCTGCCTGAGTGAGACTCACTTGGACACGAGCTTCAGGCTGTGCATGCTGTGGGAACAAGTTCTCTGAGTGGCTGCGCCCTCAGCTTGTCCCAGGGCGAGGCAGATCTCTCCCTCTCTCTGTCTCCCTCTTTCTGTCTCTCTCTGTCCTTCTAATTTTTTAGTCCTTGAAGCTTGAATTTAGGTGTCTTGAAGTGGTTTTTGGCTTTTTTCCATCCAAATCAGAAATGGGCAAATGGGGGGGGGGGGAAGCAGGGGAGGAAAAAACACGTGAGATTTGTACATAGAATACAGGAAGCAGGTATGAAGCATTTGAAGTTCTCAGCTCCACCAGACAAGATTCCTGAGTAACTGCTTAGGAACACTTGTGGCATCCTCCTTGGAAATGTCTTCCTTAGCAGTCCCTGGTTGGTTCATTAACTTTTCTGACTCCTTTTTAAAAAAAATTTCATTTTATTTTGTCAATATACAATGTGTTTGATTATTGTGGCCAATTACTGAAACCTCCCTCACTCCTCCCTCTCCTCCCTCCCTCCCAACAATGTCCTTTCTGTTTGCTTGTTGTATCAACTTCAAGGAATTGTAATTGTTGTGTCTTCTTCCATTTCCACCCAGTTTATTTGTGTATTTATTTATTTATTTTTAGCTCCCACAAATAAGTGAGAACATGTAATATTTCTCTTTCTGTGCCTGACTCGTTTCACTTAAAATAATTCTCTCTAGGTCCATCCATGTTGTTGCAAACGGCAGTATTTCATTCGTTTTTATAGCTGAGTACTATTCCATTGTGTAGATATACAACATTTTCCATATCCACTCATCCGATGATGGACATTTGGGCTGGATCCAACTCTTAGCTATTGTAAAGAGTGCTGCGATGAACATTGGGGAACAGGTATACCTTCGAATTGATGATTTCCATTCCTCTGGGTATAATCCAAGCAGTGG